TATTTTTAATAAGAAATTATTTTTTTAAGTAATTAAGTGTAATTAAAATGTGTATTAATATATGTATGTATCTCCAATATAAATGTTTTCTTTACATGTGTAGCCTTGATAATACACTAACCCTAATTAAACCCAACTTTGCTAACAAACTAATATAACTAAATAATGTTGTGTGTAAATGTGTTGAATTTATCAAAAAACTAATTCATAAATGTAACTTGCAAGGATTGTGTAACCCTTCACTTTTGTAAAAAAGCTTATTAATTAAATATGTATAATAAAATAACTATGAGTAATAAATATATTAATAAACTGTTTTATTTATTCTTAATTTTATTTTTTTTTGTTTTTAATATTCTTAATTTTTGATTGTATTTATTTATAAAAAAGTTCATTTAATGAAATTAACACCATAAAAAAACAGGTTTTTTTTCATCCCAGTTACTTAATGTCTCTTAAGTTGCGAGCCATGCTCCTTCTCATCCGTTCAAGCAACTCATCTTACAGCGCGCGCATTCTTGATTCCGCCGAATCACCTTTTCCCATTTGCTGAAAGTAGCATCCTAAGTATAAATGCCCTGCGATGACTTCTACAATCTTACTAAGCTATCTTTTGCGTTGAAGTGGTAGTTTGTGGTATGTCACCTTCAATACTTCTCCAACAAATTTTTTTGGCATGCGCTGTGTTGCTTGCGTTCTAAGGCCCGAGATGTCCCTCTAGGGTATATTGCTCTTGACACTCTTGAAGGAGCTGAACGCACTGAAGCAGGTGTCAGGTGTCATCAAGCGAGCCACGAGCTGGACTCGACTTTTTTCATTTCCTTCGATTCCTATGTGACCAGGTACCCAAATGAGATTAATCGAGTTTCGTAATAAAAGTCTAGTTATTGCCTGCTTGCATAACCTAACGCAAGGAGGCTTAGTATTGACGCTACGGTTAGCCTTAATTGTCACTTGGCTAACTACAAGCATTTTTATGGTGTTGTTGGTTAGAACAGAAGTCCACTTGACACCTTCTGTTCTGCCCACAATGTAGCAAATAGTGGCCCGTCAAAAACAACCGTAGTCTGTTTTACAAAGCTCTTCCAGACTCGAGGCCCCCAACACTTGGTGGAAGGGAGTTGAAGGTGTATAAACGGGTCAAATCCCTAGGTGTCACATTAGACTTAACATTTCGCTGGCATAACACGTGTCTAATTAATTAACACTGTCCAGAGTCAGCAAGGCAATCATTATTATCAATTATCGAAGCTGCAAAAACTCGTCTACGTTTGCGCTTCACGGACAGTGGGCACTTACTTGCCCAACCACAGCACTGCATCTACATAGTCATCAAACGAGTAGCGAAGCATATCATGGTGCTCATGGTAGCAGAGGGTTTTGGCAAGAGGAAGATAATATCGTCTCAACAAATGAAGGCCTCACTGGCATTACGAAAGTTTAAACTTTACAAAGAAGTTTAGAGTCACTCTCGCAGCACTATCTAGTGCTACACTGACGGCTCGAAAACATAGGCATTGGAGCAGGCATTGCGGAACCGCCTACCAAACTATCCATACCAATGAGATGTTTTCCGAGTATCTTTCAAGCAAAAGTCTTTACTATAAGTCAGTGAGCAGAAATCAATCTCAATCGCAACCAGCTAATATTTTTTGGTATTGCTGATATTTACTTTTTCTTTTAATTCTAAAATTTTAGTTTTCTTTATTATACTCTCGCAACAAAGTTGCTAAAGAGAGTATTATAGTTTTGTTCACATAACGGTTGTTTATAAGTCCTAAAACTAAAAGAGTCAGATATAGGGT